GGTGGTGTGCCAATAAACTTTATTTGTAGACACTGAAATTTGGATTCCATGTAATTTTTATGGGTCATGAAAAATTCTTCTTCAGCCATTTCCAGATGTAGAACCCGCGTTCAGCCTGTGGGCTCTCAGCGGCTGGCCCTCGGTGTGTGGCCTGCCTGCCACCTGTGCCTCGAACACTGACCGTCCGCACAGGACTGCTTCACCCCCGACCCCCACTAAAGTGTCCCAACGGGGGAACCCCGAGCGAAAGGGGCCGCGGCTGGCCGGAGCTCTGTGCTGCCACCTACCGGCCGCGCCCGGGGCCGCGCGGGCTTGTCTGCTGCTCGCTCGCTCCGGTGCCAGGGTCCCAAAACTTCCCGGGGGTGAGACAGGTCGCCTTGGTAATCCATGTTGACCACCCCCGGGAGGACTTCACGCCGTAAGGACTGTGAAGACCTGATAAATCATCTAAAGCGAAAAAGTTGCTCCGTCACAGCATCTTGGCACTCGGTTCCATTTCCACCACCCTTAAGTAATCACCAAGCACACAGCTGTCAGGTAAGAAAATAAAGGTCCCAGGGGCAAGGAGTTCAAGGTGACAGTTTAAGGCAGACCCTGCCCCGTCCCCCTTCTGGACACTGCACAGGTGTTCTGCTCCCCAACTCGGCCAGGCCTGTGAGAGACCTGGAATGGGGCACAGAGGGGCGCCAGGGGATGTGGGCGCTGGTCCCTGGCCCACGTTTAATTGCCCTTGGACACTTATTTAGCTTTTGCGCTTCAACTTCCCAGGTGCAAGGAATTTCAAAACTAATGGAATATATTCACCTTATACGCAATTTATCAAGACACCCGCAGACAATGGAAAGCTTTGCAAACAAAACTGTGTTTTCTGCATTTGCCAGATCGAATCCGCCTGTCCAGGAAGCCCACGTGACTCCCCCACCTTCGGTGACCAAGCTGAGCGAGGGCATGCGTGCTGCGGGTGGTGCTGGAACAAGACCATTTGATGACGGTGTCACCCCAGTCACACGTCACACAGGAGACCTGGCTCCAGCACCGCGGCAGGAATGAGCACCAGTAACGACCAGGTAGCTGGCTTTGCCCTCAGCGTTCAGCGGGCTCCTGGAGGCAGGCGTGGTGACCGTCCCTGCGTGATGATGACTTTGCCACCGCCACTCCTGGCTCTGCTGTTCCAGAGTGACACCTTGCCAGGGTGGTGCCTGGCATAATGCCAGCCGGGTTTCCGTTCTGCTTTGCCTTTACTTCATCTCTTAACGTTTGCAACCTCAAAACTAATGGAATATATGCACCTTATGCTCAACTTATCAAGACACCCGAGGACAATGAAAACCTTTGCCAACAAAATTCTGTCCCAACAGAGGACATTCGCGTATGTTTGACGCCTCCCCTGCAGAGCGCGCTGCTGAGCTTTGAGTTGAACTCCGGCAGGCAGGTGCTTAAAACCCACCATCTAAAAGTCTTGAGCTTCCCCACCCCTGGAGACTCCCTCACCCCGGGTTTTGGCCGAGACACAGAAAGGGCTGGCCACAGCATGGACGTGCCAGCACCGGCAGGAACACAGAGCCGGTGGTGGAAACGTCCTCGGTCCCTGCGGTTCTGAGCAGCAGGCTGGAGGCGGGGTGGGAGAGCGGCATCCATTGGAAGCCCGATCTTGGCGTTCATCGCTGGCACGCCCGTGGGCTGGAGCCCTCTACACTCGGAGCTCCGACTCTGCAAATGCCGGCGGCCGAGCCACGGCCTCCACAGCTGTGCTCACCAACGAGCAAAGTGCCAAGGAGCCGGGGAAGTACTATCGATGCATCCAAGACGTTTGTAACAGACTGAGGTTGCCATGGCTGAAAGAGGAGCCTTCAAGTTAGTTTTGTGGCCAGCTGCCTGCATTCTTTAAGGTTTGAGGCCTGGGCTTACAATCTCAAATGTTTTCTTACAGTCCGCTTTCTCTGAATTAGGCCAGGGGGCAGGAACATCGCTTGCTTGCATTGTCCACATCCCCCACTAGGTGGCAGCGCTTCCCAAGCTGCGATTTCCTTCGGTGCGAGGCAAGGCTGAGACCTTTCCCGTGGATCAAGTTGGAGCTGCAAGAGCAAAGAGAACAATGAAGAACCTACCAGGCCCTCATCTCACCCCTACACCCAAGTTGCAAGGAGCAAGTCTCAGGATTAAGAGCTCTGGTGACCGAAGAAGACTGCAATTCCTGCAGAAGAAGAGTGCAGGAAGGGGGGGCCTCTGCTCCCCTCCCCTGTGCTGTGCCCATTTTCCAGAACAGAAGCGGCCTAACACCCCCAGAGGTCCCCAAGATGGACAGACATCTGCGTACAGTGTTCGGGCGGTGTGTACCTTTGTTCCAATCTAGAGGGTTCACGTTTTTCATGTAAGAATCCATCTCTCAAGACACGGTGGATATTTTTGCACACTCGGGCACGAGCTGTGACTCATGAGCAGATGGACAGAGGAATCCAGCGTGCCAGCCAGCGTTGCCAGGGAGAGGAGGGAGCTGTGCTCCCCAGGAGCTCACACCTGCCCCCACCGCTGGGGCCAGGCCCTCCGGCCATGGCGTCTGTCTGGAGGGGTCGGGGGCAGTCTCTCGTCTAGGGTCACGGGACTGGGCTATGGGCACAGCGTGCCTGCCTGGGCTCACTGCCTCAACCTTAGAATGCCTTTGTAACCAGAATGCAGAAGTGAAAAACAGAGTCTTCCAAGCCCAAGTGGATGTCGCTCTTAGTACTAGATGCCGCCTGTTAAAGAGAGAGAAAAATTGTATCACACTGTGCTTTATTTCACCTTGTGGGGGCATCGTCTCAGAAAAAAAAATTGGTTTTTAGCATTTACATAAAGTATGAAATGGAGGTGCCCTGAAATGAGTCTTTACTTTGGTACTGACGCTTCGGGGGGGCGCAACCCCAGCAGCTGGCGAGCTCCGGCTAGACGGGTCTTGGAGCACGAAGCTCTTCTATGGGGACAGAGCTGAAGTAATTAACTTTAACATCATGGACACATTTTCTAGGCTCCTCACCCCAAGGAGCCCCTGCCGCCTAGACCTTATGCTCCCCTTTATTTTCCTATCTCGAGGGCTTCGCATCTCATCCGAACTTAGGTCACTCACGCAGCCCCAGGAGCGGCGACAGGCGCCCACCACCAAGAGCAGGCGCAGCTGGGGCGCCATTTGGACCGGCCTCTCTGGCCAACCTCGGTGAGGCGCGCGGGCCGTCACCCCCACTAGTCTCTGAGCTCCAGGCTTTCTCCCTACAGCCACCTAACAGTTTCCTCCCAGACTGTGGCCAACGTGTTTCCTCGATTTAGACCTCTGTGCACTTCTAAGTGCTTTATTCCAAAATCTCCGGCCTACTCCGTTGGGCCTCACGTCTCGGCAACTCTTTAACAGTCGTCCCCTCCACTGCCTGCACCTCCTTGCCACACTGGCCCCTCCCCCACCGCCCCCTCTTGGAACACCAGATGGTCCCTCCTGCCACGAAGAGCAGGTCGCCCTACAGCCTGGCCAGTGCCCCAGTGCATCTCTGCTGGCTGAAAAAAAGGGGGATGGAGGTGCCGTCAACCCCCGGGGATTCTGAGATCATTTCAAATCCACTGCCCGTGTGGGACTCAGGCGTCATGTATTAGCAGTCTCCCCTCACTAAGGCCCTGCAAGCCTGAGCCCTCCTGAGGGCCAGTGACTACGAGCTGTGTGTGTGGGTGGGGGGTGGTGGACACCAGGAGGCCTGCGCCCAGAAGCACCAGCCATCACCAGAGGACGAGTCTGATGCACGGGTACCAGATAAGCTCCTTCCTATAATCTTATAGATGATTGTTTAAGAAATTAACTTGGGACTGGATTTCAGCAGACAGCGCCACTAAAAGATACTGTTAGCGAGAGTCGCCTGGAAAGCAAACACCTCCTCATCGACGCGGTGGTCAGCGGGAGAGCCGCACCTGAGCCTGGCGCGGGGTGCGGACACTGTCCACCCCCGCCCCGGGGCCTCGCGCGCCCAGGGGCACAGACACCGCACGGCTTTGTCCCTCGGGGGCCCCACGGCAGCCTGGGAGTGAAGCCGCTTTGGGCACCAAGTGGAGAACATGCTGACGCTAGCAACCTTCGGGATTCAGTGCCCACGTGCCAGCTAGGGGATGATGGGCTGATTCATAAAAACTATTTTAAAAATAATAATTAAAAAAAACCCCACAAGGTATGATACCCTGTCTTTCATCTTCTAGAACTTGCAAAAAAGCACAATTCTTAAGCTGTTTTTCATTTTTTTATTGCTGTTAATTCAAGGAAAAAAGGTTGCATAAAATCCAATCTGTTCTAGAAATATAAGTGGCCTTTCCAGTACATAACATTTCAAATATCAAAGTATATGGTAAACATACAAATAAGGAGAAGGTAACACACCTCCTATGTACAGTACAGTATTTGAAATCATAAAATAAGCTCCATAGAGTACAACTGGCGAGTGATTCACAATGCGGTCCGGACGCGGCTTATCGAAACTGTCACTTGAACAACTCAATTGCAGCTTAACAATTAATTTAATAATGTGGTCCAAAAATACCCAGATCAAATAAAATATATTTAATCAAAATAATTTCCTTTACTCCAACTTTTTTTTCTTTTTAAATTAAAGCTTTCATCTTCTACCCCTTCACGCCCACCCTTGCCCTGCCCTTATCTCCCGCCCCTGAAATAAAGTTTCAAAATGTACATTGGTGCTATAAATACAAACACTACCTAGGAAGCATTAAACAAAGCTTCTACTTTCTCTTCAAGTTCGCCTTTCTCCCAGCCATCTGGCAGGCTTCCGAACCAGACCGACTCTGTGTTGCCCGGCTGCACCCCAGGACCCCGCCGCCACCTGCCCTGGTCTGCTAAGGGCGCCCGCCCGGCCCTCGGCCTGTGGCCACCTGGCGGCTGCTCGCTGCTGTGCACGCAGCAGTCCCAGAGAACACACCCCTCTTCCAGATAACCTCAGTGCACTTTAGGAAATTAAAAATTACCTGGAAGCAATTTAGTACATAGATTGGCTTTAAAAAAAAACTTTTTTTTTTTTTAAACAGCAGCATTAAACGTAGTGACATGACACCGACATGATTAATACCATCTTAACACACCAGAATTCAGTCTTTCACATTATAATCAAGCATAGTGGTAAACTGTTATAAAAGTGACTTTACTTTGCTATGAGACAGGTTAGGGAACGAATACCTGACTTTTTGTAGAAATTGAGAGCTTCTGTTCAGATTGCAATAAACCATACACATTTAAACACAACATAACACTGTAACAGCCGGTGCAGGGAGGAAGCTCTACTCAGTCTCAGCAGAGGGCGTGGCCGGGCAGAGGCCGGGGCGGGCGGGCAGCACTCACACAGCGCGCTCACCTTACATCACTGCAGCAACAGGCTGAAAACCTATCAAGTGCAAAGGTGGGTTTCTGTCTGTTTCTAAGAAAAGCTCTCGGCTCACCACTTCCACATCATCACTTTCTCGGTGTCGTGTAGTTTCGCTCTTCACGCAGCGGGTCTTGCGCACGAGCGCTGCGCCTGCACTAGGTGACGCTGTGGTGGGGTCTGCTTGTCCCTAGATGAAGGTGAATCACTTTACCCTCAATTCATGTTGGGGGGGCGGGTGCGGCTTCCCCCAGGGGACATGGACATTGCCCCCCACGCTGCAGCCACAGGAAGAGTGAAGGGCGGGGGGGGGGAGTGCAGTTTAGGGTGAAAGTGAGTAAAAGCTGCAGAAGAAGCAGTTTCCTTTTTTTGAAAACCATATGACTGTCACCAGTGTTGTAAGAAAAGGTCAAATACACAGTTTTAAAGATTCAGTAAACATTGCACACAGCGAGTATTCAGTGTAAAAAAAAAAAAAAAAGCACGCATCAACATTTTCCTTTTGATAGTTTGGAAGTTGAAATTACACGTATCATACAGAGAAGCCTGTTGTTGGACCAGGAGACCAGAGGCTCAAAAGCAATGTATTCTTTTTAGTCTTAGACATCAGTACATGAGAAATGAAAAATCCCAACTGCATAGAAATCTGGGCAATGTATAGACAAAGAAACACAAACAAAATACCTTTCCTTTCCTCCCCTCCTCACCCACCAAGACTCCCCACACTTCAGTGTGTTGAGTAGGCAGGCTTTACTTGTTTCAGTCTGCAGAATCCAACGTATCACTAGGAGGGGGGAGGGGAGGTGCGTATCTCAGTCTGTAAGTGCCTAAAACGGGAAAGACAGAATGCTAAGTCACTGCTTACAAAGCAACGCATCACACACCACCACAAGACAGCAAGGGCATGCTCTTCAGAAGGCCGCTTCCTCCGCTCTACTTCGATTCCAAAATGGCAAATGCAATTACTTTTAAAGAGGAACACGAAGTTTGTGCTTTAAGTTCAACCTAAAGCTATCAAATTCCATCTTCCTTTAAAATGACCATTTAGAGTCCCAAATCAAGACTTTTTCCTGGGTGAGATTTGGCAAAATGACAAAAGCCAAATGCAAGCGAACAGCAGGTCTGAGGCCCACACTGCGCCTGTACCTCACGCGCTTATTTAAGAGCAATAATATCAAACTTAGGTCAAACTCCTCTACTCCCAAACCAGTGCTTGGGTGTCTTGTTCCTGTAAACGCAAGAGCATTTTTAAAAAACACCTGCTGAGAAGGAAAAGGGCAGCCGGGCACACACGGGTGGCAGCTGGTGGTGGCGGAAATACACTGAGGAATAAACTAAAACCTCACGCCAGGTGACTGGGTTGCCTCCTAGTTTTTCATTATTTAAAATTTATGCTTACTCTTCTTATCAGACAGGGTTGTGGCTTTTAAAAAAAAAAGGGTGGGGGAGCTGTGAGCCAGAAATTTGACACGAGGCAATGCAAATCCCATTGCATTTCTTAAGAAGCGCCTGGACAGCTGATTCTGAACTGGATTCCTCTGAACTCCCTGTCCTGCGACCTGCCTCTACCCTGCCTCTGGCCGTCTGCTCTGCATGGTCTGTCACCTCACGCGCAACCTCCGTACAGGGCCACACACCAGCCCGCTGCTCCAGCAGCTTCCCCGAGAGCAGCGGGGGGGAGAACGCACACTCAGAAACAGGTCCGCTGGGAGCCCTCGGGATTACCTTGCTGACTGGCCTCCACGGACGCCTGCTTGCACTCCTGTGCGTAGTGCCCGCTCACACCACAGTTGTAACATGACACATTCCCGTTCTTCTTGGGCCCCGAGCTGCTCGTGTTGGCAACCACACTGGGTGCTGGGTAGACGGGGTAGAACCTCCCAAATCCTGCCATCTGCTGCATGCCGTAGCTGGCTTGGCTCCCCATGACGGGGTCGTGCACCAGCCCATTTGCATATGGAGTCTGAGGCAGAAAAAAAGGAAGTTGGCTCCCATTGCTCTGATGTGCTTGGTTGAGGTAGCTGCCATTGCAGATGGACGGCAGAGTGAAGAAGGACGGGACTCGGTACATCGGTCCGGGCACCGGGTTGGGGTAGTAGTAGCTACTGAGCTGAAGGCCGCTACTGGTCCCGCAGCTGCACCTCCGCCCGCAGGAGCCGCAGGGGCCCGAGCCCATCTGCTGCGGTGGCAGCGCCGCCCCGCCAGTGTTCGTGTTCCCCACAGCGCTGATGTAGGAGGTGCTGTCGCTCTGCGCCGTGCTGTGCGTCAAGGAGGGGCTGGGGCTGGGGGCTGGGCCCGGGGTGTGTGTCGGGACGGCGGGAGGCACTGGGGACTGGGCCTGACTGATGCCCGCGCCCGCCGGCGGGGTGGATGCGGCTGCCGAGCTCAGTGCGCTAGGGCTGGGGCTGGGCAGCACGCTGGCGGCCAGCGGGGAGCTGGGCAAGGTGTAGGAGGCTGCTGGCTGTGCGGCGGAGAGGGCGGCGGCAGGAACGACTACCTTCATGCCGGCGGGCTGAGGGAGGGTCCCCGAGGCTCCCTCAACTGGAGGCACCATTTGACTGAGTCCTACTACTTGGGGTGCAGGTTTTGTGATGGGGTCTGCGGCGGCAACAGGAGATCCCGGAAAACTACCTGGGCTGTGGACAGGAAGAAAGGCGGTGCTGGGTGAGCCGGCGCTCAGACTCCCGGCCGGCGGCTGCGGGATGTTGGCGGCACAGCTCTCAGAAGGTCCCTGCGGTGGGGGCAACTTCAGCCTCTGAATTGTTAGGTGCAAAGCAGGAGCACTACTGTGCGGGAGGAACGTTGACGGGATAGGTAGAGGGGAAGCCAATAACTCAAGGTGCTTTTCCGATTCTGCACTAGAAGCTGCCGGCCCCAGCATACCCACAGCGGCTGAATTTGTGGACTCCCTAATGGCAGAAATAGCAACAGGACTGGGAACCAGCATCCCTATTGTCTTGCCATCGGCAGATTTGGGTGGGGGGACGACGACTTCAGACTTCTGGGCACCGCTGTGCATGACACAGTGTAGAGTCGGCATAAAAGAGATGTGCGGGTACTTGGGTGGGCTCAAGGGGTCTTCCAAGGCGCTGCCGTCGTCGTTTCCCAGCGAAGTGATCTGCACAGGTGGCTTGACAGTGAGCGTCTGGTTGACAGAGCTGTAACCTGTAAATCTGGTGGTTACTGGATTTCCAGAATCCTCAGAATTGCTGTCTGTGTCTAAGGGAAACAAATATAAACGGAGGTCAGCACGGGTGCAGTCCTCCTCTTTGCTTGCTAGAAGTAAGTCTGAAGCTTATCTAAGGTGAAGCCTGGAGTACGGAGCTGAAAAAAATCTGTTCCTCTATTGAGCTGCCTGGCTGCCAAGCTGAACTTTCAATTTTTGCCTTTCTTTGGGTCAGTTGTATACATTATCTCAAGAATATGGATATTCTGGAAAAGGCAAAAGTACAGAGACAATAAAAAAAAAAAATCAGTGGTCCCCAAGGGGTGTGGGGAGATGAACAGGCAGGGCACAGAGGATTTTTTGGGTAGTGACAATGTTCTGTATGATGTTATAATGACAGACACATGTTCTTATAATTTGGCCAAACGCACGGAAGGTAAGACACCAAGGCTGCACCCTGAGGATTATGACATGTCATCCCTAGCTATAAAAATGTATCATATTAGTGAGGCTTTCCGTGTGGAAGCAGAGGGTTTATGGGGAATGTCTGTGCCTTCCTTTCAATTTTATTATAAACCGAAAACTGCTTTACTAAATAAAGTGAATAATCACAACACAAACATGGAGAGATAAGCAACGAAACAAAAGGTTTAGTGTCACCTTATTGCTGAGAAAAGGACTAAGTATGTTGACTTAGTCAAGTGTAGGCAATTCCCATGATTTCGTATTGTGCACAACCACATCTAAGGTCCTCATCTCCCTCTCATGGAAATGAAACAATTTAAAGGCGCTCAATTCAACCTATATTTAAACGAAATATCTAGAGGTGGGGAATGGAAGCGTTTCACTGTGGAATGGACTAAGTAGTCTTACTTTTGTATTTCAGTGGGGGAGAGAAAATTCAAAGCACAGAGCGCGGGGGCTAGGACACGTGAAGCAGGGCAAGGCAGGAGCGCCCACGCGCCCAGAGCTCACAGCCAGAGGCCGCGCGGCCGATGCGCAGCAGGAACAGGCAGCCCAGGACGCTGGGCCACCAAGTCACATGCAGTGATGTGCGCGGTGCTACACTTTAATAAAGACACACAGCTTAGCCTGGACTTCTCATGGGCCGCCTCACCTTGCTACCGCACCGTGGTGCCTTACGAATGTACCTCAATTTGTAAATTTAAAAGTGCCATAAACCCAGGCACTACAATAATATGTACACAGACCATTCAACTAATTCAGTTGTGGTGGCTCTTTTAACATCTTTCTGTTCAAAAATACAATCAAGCTTGCTTATGTATTTAAAAGGTTGTACTATGTTCAGTTAACATGTTAATCAGTTTTGAAAGAGAACATTGAAGATGAGACATATTCGTCTTCCTGATGAAGACCAGAATGTCAAACTGTATTCACCCAACTATTCTCTGTATTACAAAAAAGGGAGTATAAATGTCTCATAATTTGGGGTGTTTCCTGCTAACCTTTACAAAACGCACAGTATCCAAAACTCACTTATTTAAAACATTCCATCTCGATCTGTAGATAGTGTGTGGTTAAACATTTTTTTTTAATTTTTATTTTATAATTTTTTTTATTTGTGGTTAAACATTTAAGTACAAAAGAAACTAACATTTTTCATATGATCAGTTAAAGTTTCTACATGAATTGGATTTTGTTTAAATCTTAAGTCATGGCAACTGGATCCATAATGTAAAATTACAGGATGCTGCAAGTTTTCTGAGCACTCTAAGGTCTCACCTAGTTAAATGAAGATTGGTTTCATTCTCTTTTTGTACTGACTTTAAAAAGTATATAAAGTCTCAACAAGAAGAACAAAGTCACCTGCTTTGAAAGCAACCTTTCGTGCACTCAGAATTCTAAAACTGACCAAAACTCTGCACCACAGTGGACTCTCCCGCCTGCTGCTGTCAGCCCAAGGAGGCTCACTTAGTCCTATCTGGTAACTGAGCTAGTTCCCCACAGACCCCAGACTCAGCCTGCCGGCGCCAGGAGCGGGGCCCCAGGCAGGCAGACGTGCTGACGACCCTGACCAGGACGACCAACACAGCACTGTCAGCTGACAGGTCACGGGACAGTGTGTGTGCCCTACAGAACCAAACATGTGAAATCAGACATACTTGAAAGTGTCCATTCTGGGCAAAGCATAACAACCCCCTCATCACCCAAACTTCTTAACACCTGTGTTACTTTCACTTTTCCCCCCTTTCCTGAGAAAACTGCGATCAGAATGCAGTGTTGCCTCAGCTTAGACTTGGTGGCACAGTCACTGCAGGCTACATTGGTGTGGCTTCAAGTAACTTCAAAGAAAAGGCTGGCGTGCCCTGTACCTGAAGGAGAAGCACCGCGCTCCGAGGCACGACCTAATACAACCTCGTGGAGCGGCGGACTGCTAGGGAAGAACCACAGTGGCTGAGAGACCGCAGATCCTCAGGTGTCCCAGAGAAACCATCTGATGCCACAGCGTGGGAACACCTCATCACCGAGATGTCGTAAGTCAGACGTCATGGTCAAGTGTAAAGAACAACATCCCCATTCAACGTACACATTTTTAAGATCTCACTTCCAGAGTGGCAGAATAATCCAATACTCTATCCCAACATAAAAACAATACGATTCCAGCAAAAATTGTCAAAATCAACTTTTTGAGAATTCTGGAAATTAACTAAAGGCTTGTAGCAATCTGAGGAGTACGTATTTAAGAAGAACCATTTAACCCATTTTAGAATAGCAAATTTTGCCTTATTTCCATCTCACTTTGTCCTGCTCTCAAGCAGCCTGGTAAGGAAAGAGCCCTGCAGCAACCATGATACCTACAGACCCGCAGCCCTGCGGCCACTGGCACCCACACAGGCTTTGAGAAAGATGGATGATGCCCCCTCCTTGAGAACTATTGCTAAACACTGGCTCCAGCCTCTCCCTACAGGTCGCTGTTACCAACAATGTGGCTGCCCGAAGACAGAAGCACTGCCAGTTGGCACCAACAAGAGGTCAACAAAAACACCTGAAAGGAAAAACGGAAGGAAGAGAAGTCCCCAGGGAGCGCTGAGAAGTCTGCTGTATTTCTGGGAATTCAGAGGGCCAGGAGCATGCTTTAGACTGTATGCATACCCAGAGGAGTCCTGAGAGGGCTCCCACTCTGACTAATTCTCTGAGCAAGGAGGAACTGAACACATAAAACATGCTGGAAAAGAAAGGCACAAAGGCAGACATTACATGCTGTTCTACTAGTGATCGCAGTCAATTCAATGGATTACACACTCATCAAATGGCAGCTAGACTGCAAGAACAAAAACTAAACTATATGTTCTAAGATACACACTGAAATTCAAAGACACAAATATGTTTAAAGGAAATGAAGAGAAAGAGGTACGTAGCAAACAATACCAAAAGAGAGTTAGAGTAGCTGTCATACCACCACACAAAATAGGTTTTAAGATAAAAGTTGTCACCAGAGACAAAGAACACTTTATGACGATAAAAGGGCCAATCCAGGAGGGAGAAAAACTGTGCCTGTGAGTGCACTGGACAACATGCACATTTAAAAATGTTCTAGGCTGATCTACATCTGATGACTCTACCCGCCACTTAATTTCATATTAAGTGAAATAAGTTAAAAAAAAAAAAAAACATTGCTAGGAAATGCCAAGATAACGGCCTGTTAAGACGCCCTTCATAAGGCAATTACATTTAGAAGCAATAATGACATTTATAGGAACATGAAACTACTTCGAACTTGATTTTAAGACAATACACATTTCCCTCCACCATCCCCTATTCCCACCCCCAAAAAGCAAACCTCTGTCTTTTTCTTCTTCACTTTCAAAACTTTCTCGGCCATCATGTCGTGGGCTAGACGGAGAACTGTAACTCTCTGAAGATGTGTCTCCACATGTGTCAAGTCCAGATCCATTGTCCAAATGCACATCTAAAATTAACAGTTCTATTTTTTAAAATTCATGGTAAGTAGTTAAATTAATTTCTGAATTGAAAATTATAAATTAGTTACAGCTTTTCAGTTCTACAACCACTTAAAAAGTTGGTCTTTCATTCTAGTTGAAAATTCACCATTAAATCACAATTTTAGTTGAAAATAATTTAAAAATTCATTCTCAAAACAAAGGCAAAGGAACAAGTCAATCTAACTGACTTTAAGAAATCAGAATTAAGGTTTTTTTTTTGTAGGATCAGCTGAATAATATCATGTTGAACCACTTTCTAAGTATAAAACTCCTCAGAGCTTGTTGGAAAATCCATTCTTTAAAAAGAACTCAAGAGCTGCCTAAAATGCCTGTTCTGTTAAAATTACTATGCCTTAATATTTAGGAGTAAATTCTTCCCTTTTGGTAGAGTAGCCAGCCCCTTTAAGGTGTGCTCAGAAACCAACCTGGCAACTGTCATAATCACTAGCTATAACTAGCTAGTTTAAATCACTAGTGTTTTAAACTTAAGAGGCGAAATTAGTGATAGACCAAGGCAATGGACATTCTTGCAATGGTCCAAAACTAGGAACTGCTCTTTTTATTCTTCAAACCCAGTAGCCAGCATCGTTTCTGCCTTACAGCAAGGCATTTATCACAGTGTCTAAATCCCTGTGTAAGGGACTGCGGAGGAATCTTAACAACTATGGATGAGTGAGTCATTTCTACAGCAACCTAACAGAACCAACAAGAAGCAGTAATTGCTACTAATCATTTGGGCAAAATGTGTGTTGGAGAAGAGACATGGTGTGTATGTGGCAAGTTGCCTGCCTAACTTGTCTCATTGGGAGGAGTAAATCTGTGTTACAACTGGTAAGGATGACCTAGTCTAGCTACCCGGCCCAGCCCCAACCCCGCACAGTGAATGAACACTGAAGAAAGACTTCATGAAGAATGCAGATATTGCTAATTCCTTTCAGGCAATCAACTTTAAACTGCCAAATGAAAACTGCACATAAATCTCATGAGATTATACAAAGGAGGCAGAGGAGTTAGGAAGGCCAGCAGTAATTTTACAGAATAGAAAGACTCGTGAACAACAGTAGGCTCAGAGTTATCAGCCACACCTTGACTAAGGAAGAATGCAGCTCACCATGAGACAGCCTGATGAGCATGGTGGGTAAGCAGCCTGGGACTTACAATTGGACTTATAAAAACGAAACTATGAACCTGTGGCACACACAAGTTCTGCATGGAAATACTTCACCCAGCATGTTACAAAGCGAATGACTCAAGGATTAAGTGAAGCAACGGCGCACTAGGACAACCTCAAAGCAGAAAAGACGGGTGGAAAGGGGAGCACTTGGGCAGGGCAGTTGGACAATGAAACCTCAGTGAATTCTTGGACATGTCACTGTAACTTTCAGACTGTTAAACAACAAGCAGTTACTTCTCAGTGACATCATTTGTACAACGGTTTCCTTGGATTGCATAGTTAACAAATATTAAAGTCACCAACTGTCATTACTTAGCAGTTTTCAAAGAACAAAATGCATAAATCTAAGCTACACCAAAGATAACCTTCTCTGAAGATACAGAAGTTACTTCGGAAGTGTAGAGTTTGGACTGTACTCAGAATCCATTTGATTCTGTGGAAGGCCAGGATGACACAACTACGCCGAAGGCTATGTCGTAAAGCCCTTATGCTAAACACACTAGAAAGTTTAAAGATGTGAACATCTCTGTTACCCTCAGAGGGTAAAAAGACCATGCAAGTGATTCAGAAAACCTGCATTAGCCACTATTCTAACAAGAAAAAGTGGGTTATTACTAATTGTGAACAATAAGCAGTTAGTTAGACCTAGCAACCACTTAGCTACTTGGGAGACAGAACCACAACAGGCTACTGAAGGAAGCAGAAGAAATCAAAGTCATGTAAAGAGAGGGAGAGGCCAACCCCCTCGTGGCCCTTCACCGGTTTGGTGCCACATCAGTCAACTGGAGAGTGGGGTGGAAGAAAGACTGGAGAGGCCCCGGCACACGGGGTCCGTAAGGGGCGGAGGGGCAACACATGCAGCTCTCAAGAAGAGGCTCGAAACTTGACGTTTCAAAAGCAGATCTGACGCGAACAACAGAGACAACAAACATCACCTGTGTTGATGAAAGTCCTAACTCTTTTGGGGGAGGAAGTTGGAGGAATCTTTATTTTCTTTCTTTTTGTACCTTTGGGATTTTGAGCTATATGAATAATTAGTACTCAAATTAGAAGACAGAGATGAAGTTTTAAAATTAAAAATACACACCACCTTAAGCTAGAGTGAGGTAAAGATCTTGACAACTTTCGTGCTTTCACTTTCAGTACAGCATCTCTGTGACATGATATGCACTCACCTTGTTCCGTAAGAAAAAAAAAATCAGATGTATCTTGTGTTCAGGTAATGCTTGAAGGCAATTCCCATTTGATACTTTCATAGCTCAAAGGGTGATTAATAAACAGGCTTTTTTTAATAGTGGAGTCAGCAAACATCTGACCCACACTTGACATCAGTCAGACAAGCTGTACAAAGTGTATTTAAATTCCATAAATGTCAATGTGCATGCATCAGTGACACATATATATAGATCTGATAAGGTTTATCTTATTTTCACATTTCAGAATTGGAGATCAAGGAATCAGAACTTAAGACGGTATTGAAAACTCAATAAACACAGTGTATGTTTTCTTCTAACTTTATGAAGTAAAGAAACTAAACCACCGAAGATCAACGTGCCAGGCACTAGCTACATGCTTTCTACATGTTATCACATTTAATTCTTAATGGGAGGGGGCAGGCAGCGTTCCTGCTTCCCGAATGAGCACACTAAGGTGATGTGAGAGACCACACGCTTAAGCGACTGGGGGAGCACAGGGCCAGACCCACCCTGTCTGAGATCAGAGACCGTGGGCTGCTTCGATGAACACGAAACTGAACGGAGAAGAACTTCTCTGGTGGGCAGTAGTGCCCAAGTTATATAAGAAAAGAGAGCGAGCTCACCAGGGTGACAGGTCTGACAGAATTTCAAAAGGAGAATGACCCTCATTTGGCATGTACTTCAGGAGACAGAGGGTAGAAAATGGAGGAGGAGCAAGGAACACAGACAGAAGACCAAGCAAAACCTATGCCCAATAGTATGTGCAGACCTCTGTCTTCCTCATTTATTAGCTGTGCTGCCTTTTTTCCTTTTAAGTTGCTGTCCCCACAGGAAAACTTGAAGACAGTTATTACAATCTGCTCACCAGTTATATTTTTTCCATGTCATCTTCCCCCGTCAAGATAGCTCAGCTGATTGAATGAGTTGGCCTGGCGATTGTGGAGTCAAAATAAAACTGTACTTCTTTTACTGATATTCATCTCTCTAAACCAACATTTAGTTCAGAAATATACTCCATCAAAAAATACATTCTGGTAACCTGTATTGCATCAAATGCAATGGATGATTTGAATACAATTTAAATAAGAGTCTGTCTGTGCCAGTCTGGGGCGCAGAGGTGAGTGCAGAGAAGCAGCACTGGGCTTCTGTGCCTCCACTGTGCAGAGGGCAGGCGGAGTGACCCAGAAAGTTACCAATGAACCAACACATTTCACCTAAAAAACCACCCGAACTTAAGCTGGGTGAGTGGAAAGCACAATACTGAGTCCAGCAAGCTGGTGGGTCAAGTTCTCTTCAACGGCATCCCTGTCAGGGCCACAGAGGGCAGTCACTGAAACGGGAGGAATCTTAAAAATGCCTTTACACAAGAACACCTACAGGCTTCCCTGAGGGGCATCTCCCATGGCCTCTGGTTCAGGAAGAGGCTGGCGAAGGAAAGCTTGGGGGGTGGGGGGCAGGTGCCGAGCCGCAGGGCACAGGGTGTGCCAGGCCACGGTCCCCACAGGACCGAACTACTGCACAGAGGTGTTTCCTTCAGAAGCTGCCCTGCGCACCACCGCTGGTCCAGGCACCGGGACTGAGGCGCCAAGAGAGAGACCTCCTCACCTTTCACGGCTCCGTCAAGGACGTGCGGGGAAGCTGTGAGTCTGATGCCGTTGATTCTACTACTCAGTCTGTGGTCTGTTTTCTTAATTTTCTCCCTAAACCAAAAGTATACACGTCACCAACATTTTTATGAAGGTCTCTAGAAAAACACATAAGTACAGAATTCTTAAAATTCCCCTAAAAAGTTTTTTATAAGTAAATTTAAGTTACAATTTTTTGCCAACATTCTTTCTTTAGTGTACAATTCTGAGTTTGTCACTGAAAACTGAATATTTGACAATTCAGCTTTAGTCACCAATATGTTTTTCATCTAAAAAAAAAAACCCAAGGGTAAAAACTATGAGGAAAACTACCATTTTCACCACATAACCTAAACATGCCCACAATCAAATGTCTTTTCTGAACCATTTCTATTCCTGGCAACATTACATTGAACTTACTTTTCTACTTGTGCCTTTCCTTTCTTCTTATTTATTGAAGATAAGTTTTGCTTTTCAATTGAATGCTAGTGGAAAGAATAAAGACATTAAATAGACTAAAGTTAAACCAAATTCTTGTCTAGCTATCCCTTTACTCTAAAAATCAGACAATAAAACAATACATTCTAGTTGTATATTCTAACAATTTTTTTTTTTAAGATTTATTTATGCACACACGAACTGGGGTACAGGCCAGAGGTAGAGAGAGCTTACCAGAGACAGCGTGGGGAGCAGAAAAAGCAGATCTAGGGAAACACACTGCTGAGGGGAGCAGCGGGCGGGTCATGAGAGGTCTGCTGCACCATGTGGCACCATGCTTTACCCCCCCCTCCCCGAGCCTTCAGGGAGGTCCCTACTTTTACCTGAACTGCTAAAATTTACATGTTTTCTGACAAAGACCTACCATTAACCAGCCATGAGAAAAAGATAATTTTTGGAGAGTTTTGATCTATTTTGCTTTAAAATAAACCTGTATTCTTTCCTCTGACCATAAGATAAGACATAGTCAAGTGAAAGGTATTTGGCAGACTTACTAATATTTTCTTAAGATAACAAAGTTAGTAACAATAACATGACTTTGTCAGCTCAAGGTGAGGTAGGCATTGAAGAGGAAGAAAAAAGGTATAACCCATCAAATGTACTTAGAAAGTAGGTCATTAAATAATATGACTTAAATAACACATTTTCTCCAAATATGCTTCACTACTTTTATTCATAAAAGCTCCTTCCTGTAAAGGTAACACCTGGGTCTCAGCGTTGACCAGAAATAAAGATCAGGTTACTGGTTTCTCGCACGACAGCGCTGCCGCTGCCAACCCCGTGCCCACGTGCCCCACTGGGCAGCGTGTGCTCTCTGAGCACACCAATTCCCAGGAAAGTGGCATCCCCGGCTGCACTCCCAAGGACCAGGAAATAGTTCTTGTCACCTATGAAGGAAGGTCAGTTTCAAAATTCACATCACCACCAAGAGCAAGACTGAAATGAGATTCTTCCAAAGCAAAAAATCTGACACAACTACTTTATGCACCCCAAACAGAACAAACCTTCCAGGTGTCATATTCAAATGTACTAAGTTTGCTACACGAGCAATAAACATAACATAAATACAATTTTTAAAAGGCTCTCAGGAAAACTTAGAAAATATATACCAGTGAATTTTTTTTTTTTTTAAAGATTTATTTATTTGTGCATACAGAACTGGAGTACAGGCCAGAGACTCAGGGGCGGCGAAAGACTTCACCAGAGACAGAGTGGGGAGCAGAACAGGCAGATCGACGAAGTACACTGCTGAGGGGAGCAGCGGGCGGGTCAGGAGAGGTCTGCCACGCCATGTGGGTCACCCCCGGGGCAGGCGGGAATCGAACTCATGCGGAAGTGGTTTCAGCTTCTTAGTGCTGTGCTTTAACCCGCTGAGCCACCAGGGAGGGCCTATACCAGTGAATTTTATGTTGAATTTAAACGCTCAACTACTTCTTACCAGATATAACCTAATAACTTATTACTGACATGATAATGCTTACAGAACTCAACTCCATTATGTGTGACAATGTTTTAACTCTGTGGCACAAAAACAAGACAAGAAGCCCCGTTGTACCTGGTCGACCATGGTCACGCAGTGCTCGAGATGCTGAGGGGCCGGGCAGCCGCGCTTCCTCCAGTCCATGACTCCATTCTGCTCAGCATGCTGCACAGGGAACCCGTCCAGTGGGGAGCAGCTTGTACCAATAGTGCTGTTCAAGAGAAAGTTCACACCGTGGAAATGTGTCCTCACTAATCTACCCTAGGCCATGGTGCCATGAAGTATACTAGCTTTATCAGGAAGAAAGCATCAGCACACTTGTTTTATTCTAGAACACACAGGCAGTCTCTGATAAGAAGAAACCAGCATACAGCTATTTTCTCTATTAATAACTGACTCTTGTCTCTAAAGAGATTAACCATCATAAATTCTGCTTTTAGACTCCCAGCCACAGCTGGAGGGATGAGAGGACAAGAAAAGCTGCTGCTAAATGCTGTGTCAGAGTAAGACAGGGAGAAGTAGTACATGGAGATACAGTGATCTAGTCTCCTCAAAGGTCAAAGGCATCAAAACTTCAGACACAGAAGCAGAACTAACGCAAAGAAAACAATAATCATATCACTGGAAAGCTGGAGAAATCCAGACAGTGGAGCATCTTAAAAAGCCATCAGCAGGTGGGAATGCAAACTAGTACAACCACTATGGAAAATTGTTTGGAGGTTCCTTAAGCTGCTAATCATGGAGCTTCCCTACAACCCAGCAAGCCCACTCCTAGGTATCTACCCAAAAGACACAAAAACACTGATTGAAAAAGATACCTGCATCTCCATGTTTATTGCTGCTTTATTTACAATTGGAAAAACATGGAAGCAGCCCAAATGCCCAAAACTAGATGACTAGATAAAAAAGATGTGGTACATATATACAATGGAATATTACTCAGCAACCAAAAAAGAGAAACACATGTCTTTTGCAGCAACTTGGATGGAGCTGGAAAAGATCATGCTTAGTGAGATAAGGCAGAAAGAGAAAGAAAAATACGGGATGGTTTCACTCATAGCAGGAGTACAATGGACCAGGCGAGAAAATAACGAAAAATAATGAACAACCATATACCAGAGACATTTTGCGTAGGTGAAGTGGGGAATGGGATCAAAAACGGGGAGGGGGGGTTGGGAGGAGGGAGGGGGAGGGAAGTGCACGGGATTATGGTGATGGCACACAGGTGACTTGGTGATGGGAAACCCGCGGGGATTACAATTGAGATGGAAAAAAAATGTACAAAATGATGTAAAAAATAAACTGTTAAAAAAAAGAAAGCCATCAGCAGGGAAAAGTGCATTAAGGTCAAAGGAGCAATTGGAAGACTGAAGCAATGAATGGCGCCATCTCACGTCTGAGTTCCTCTAGGAGAGGAATCTGGGAGGATGTAGTTGACTTGGGAAGTAATCCCAGAAATAGGAGCAAGTGTGGTGTGAATGAAAAGGAAGTACCAGTGCCAGGGCAGAGGACTGCCGTGATGGTACCAGGGCACTGCTGTGCTAGCAACAGATTCAACCCTGCTGGGGTCTCCCAGATTATCGCACAGGACAGCAAGCTGGGACGCCCCTTTGCACTGAGGGCTCTCCTGTGCATGTACTTGGGCCCTTTATCTTGGTGGGTCAAGCGGAAACCCATAGAATCAGCAAGGGCTCCCGAGGCAAAGCGGGAAAGCCTGGTGGCATATGCTTGCTGTGGGACAGAATCAAGGCGAAGGGGTCAAGAGTCACAGAAATGGTCTCGTGATTTGCAACAGAAGTGGGAAGTCGGATGATGCAAAGGACAAGGACTGTAAGACTGTCACACTGTCAAGAAGCACAGAAAAATTCCAACTAGACTCCTATCACAGAAATTATCTTCTGTAAGATAAATGCAAAATAAATGTTTTCATCAAATAAAGTGAATCTGTCACTGTGTACTATCCATGACTATATGAAATAATCAAATCAAATAATAATCAAATCTGTCACTGTGTACTATCCATGACTATATGAAATAAGCAATTTGTGAAAAAAACAAAAAAAAACCAAAAAAAGGTGTCACGTGGTTTAAAATATACGGGACAGTTGCAGTTTAAAGATGGAGAAGAGATGAAGCCATGGAACCCATGGTTCGGGAAGTGGCACAGGCATGTTAGGGTGCAGTATCAGGCCTCAGTAAGTTAGGGTGGCTGAGATGATCACTATAAAAAGGTGCGACATAGCCTAGATAATAATCACTAGAGAATCGAAGAACAGCGTGTAACTAGCATGATTGACAGAAGAGAAAAAGTAACAAGAACCACCCAGCCCCAAACAAGAAAGGTACGAAGAGGAAACAGAACAGGTGGCATGAGCAATGGGTAAGCACAATGGCAGGACTGCCGTCAAATACCCCAGCGTTAGTGTGGCACCGACTCATCAATGCACGGAGACATTCAAGTGTTAGGAATTCAATACCTACTTCACAATGGGACTTTTCCCGCTGTGTTTCTTGTGGATGACGGTGTGCTGTAACACATCTAGAGTACAGGGAAAAATAAGTTATTACACCAAAAGTGCTTCTGCAGAAATCCAAATCAATGATGCTGTTAATCACTGTGACCAAGACTGTGACAAACTCCTAAGTATTTTTCAATGCAGGAAAATTCCTTAGAGAACAACTTTCCAAAGACAATTTACAAAACTGAAATTTTCTCAAATATCCTTTCCGATATGTTCTACCTAGTAAGAAATCAAAACTATGAAAGTCTACAATGAGCATGTCACTGCAGAACTACAACATTCAATTTTAGACTTTTAAAAAATATAAAGTTCTCCTTAAAAACAGAATTTAAAAATGCAATTCTTAAGGAAAAGATAACTCAACTATTTAAAGAAACACACATATTTACACAGCAAGCACCTCTGTATCTACCTCCCCAGAAATCTCTACTTTTATTTTATTTATTTATTTATTTTATTTTTTTAAAGATTTATTTATTTATGCATACAGAACTGGGGTACAGGCCAGAGATGCGGAGGGTGAGAGGATTCACCAGAGACAGAGTGGGGAGCAGAACAGGCAGATCGACGAAGTACACTGCTGAGGGGAGCAGCGGGCGGGTCAGGAGAGGTCTGCCGCGCCATGTGGTCACCTCCTGGGCAGGCGGGGATCGAACTCATGCGGAAGTGGCTTAAGCTTCTTAGTGCTGTGCTTTAACCCGCTGCGCCACCAGGGAGGGCCCTGCTCTTTTTTTTTTAAGAAATAAAATTTCATAGCAACAACAGCAGCCCTTTGTCCATTTAATTCTCTCCTGCTAACTAAGCAACAGTCTAGACCATACTTTTATTTTAACTACCCCCAACTGTACTCACAAGCACAGGCAGTGGGGGGCTGCATGTTTGAATTGAATACAAATACCCTTTTTTTTATTGCCACCTGGCACGCATATGCCACAACTTAAAAATGTACTAACACTGAAAATATTTGGGAAATATTCCGGTGTTTGTATTACAGATGCAGCTGTGGGCAACTCTGTCCCTACCCCTGAACACAAGGACAAGTTTTCAAAGGAGCAGAACTGCTGAACAGAAGCATAAAATTACCTCAAACTTCACTGCACCAAGTTAAATTTCTGTTCAAAAGGGTGCAAGACATTTTTATTCCCAGCAGAATGTGAAAATTCCATGTCCTTGACAACATCAAACTATTCTGTCCGGCCGAGGAGTAAGAAATGACAGCCCACTGTTTTGAACTCGCATGTTCCGGATGACATGAGAGGCAGAAACTGCTTAATGGCCTTCCCAGTTTCTTCTTTATGACTGTAATTTTTGCTCATACTGACAGACTTTCTCACTGATTTATAAGAGAACCATATCTGCCAATATTCTGCAAGTGTTTTCTGTCTGGTTTTAGATCTGAAAGGTCATGGCCTTGCTTTGTCTTGTTGATAAAAGGCTCCTCTCAGATTATTAACATTTAAAAATTTAAGGTTTACATTTTACATATTACAATGTTACAATCCATGTTACACACAGGTTGTTATTCAATGGGAATTTAGTGCCCATTTCAAGTAGGGATCGTTATCTACATATATTTGTCTTAAGGAGGAAGCCAGCTGACTGACACCAGTTACTACTGAAGAGTCTTCACTTTCCCCACTTATTTGTAAAATCACCTGTTACATTTTGAGTTCCCACACATCTGCTTCTTGGCTCCTTAATCTACTTGTCTGTTTGCATATTCCTGTGCCAATGTGATGCAGAATGGCTTACTCTAATGAATCAACATTTACCTTCTTCTTGACTTGAAGCTTCTGAGCTATCTTCTTTTAAGTGTTCTAGTATCTTAGACGTCTTCAGCGAGGATTGTAGGTTATCTGTAGTTAAGCATTTAATACTGTTAACGTTTTAAGAACACCATTAAGACATAAGGGCAACAAATTCATGATTGCTTTTCCCCTCAAAGAATAACGAAAGGAGGGTCAGAGTAACTGGACATCTCTACTAGTGGGAGCCTGAGAGAAAGCTGAGTGACACAGCACACTCATGCTCTGGAGTTGGGACCCGGCTCTTTGGAGGGATGGGCGTCATTTCTGTCAGCCCTGTGAAAAAAGATGCACCGGTTGGTATGGAAAGACAGCAACTTTTAAAAAGTTTCCCATTTTTTGCGGACCTTTACTTTTGAAATAAAAGTAACGTGGCAGCACTGAATCACGAGGGAAGTATTGCATGGCTTACTCGCACAGGTCCTGCTGTCGGTTACAGACTGGGGACAAGCTCTCTGGTGCCAGCACTGACCCCCAGGGCTCATTCTGGTGGCAATGGATTACTGCCCCATTAAAACACAGACCAGTGGGTTCCAGAGTTGAACATCTTAAGTCAGCATGTTTCCTCAGTGCTCAGGACATGGAATGCTGCTCTCCACCCAAGGGGAAGAAAGGTAGTACTGTCATTTTTTCAAAAAAGAGTAAATGAACTCTGACAACATTTGTTCTTTGGTGAAATTCCTTGCATGTGCATGAAAACCGTGACCCTGGCCACACAATCTCAGCACATGCACCGAAGTAACACAGTGTGTTCATTCCCTAACAGTCTGGTATCTTAAAATCTACTGGCCTCTTTAGCACTGCACCTGCGATATAAGTATCACCAAGCTCTCAAGATGATTTTTCTATTCATTACATGTGGACTGTTTACTTGGGTGAATTTTTGTGGTCAAGCTATTAATCTGAATTAATTTAACTTTGTGCTTCAATGCCCTTATAGGAGAAACACTGTTTGTAGATATTCATTTAAACATTACTGGTTCAAATATAAAGCAGCGACCGGTAAATCTACACAGCTCTAGGACAATCAAGATTCTTAAAAAAAAAAAAACAAACAGCTGTGACAATTGGGCGTGAATTTAACCAAGTTGCTCAGCTTGTCTTAATTATCAAGAAGAATAACTCTAATCGCTAGCTATATGTTTAAAACACCAAACATATATACACAAATGATTAGAAAATTTCCCCAAAAGTTGACCTATACAATATTCCATGTATTTTCCACCTTTTTCTTCCACCTCAAATTGAGAAAACATGCATTTCCTTTCTCCTTTAGGTACAGGAAAATATAACTTTGCTGAAAGCAAAACAAATACCAAAAATAAACACCCACTTGCACAGTGAATGTGCTTTCACAGAAACGCTCCTAACACGCCCATCAGTGTTACAAGCAGACTATGATAGATGTTGAAATGTGAGATAACAGTGAAGTGCAACAACGTAAGAAAAACTAGAAGCTCTTCCTGAGGTGACATTGTGGTTGGGTCTTAAAGCAGGTGTAACTTTAATAGGCTGGGACACGGAAGGATACTTCAGGAAGGGAACAGAAGGAATGAGTGAGACAGAGCTGGAAATAGCCTGGGGCACTAAATGCCAGTGATACAGCCAAGCGTGAGCTGACTAAGCAGGCCTGAGAAAGCTCAGGGCAGGACTTGAATTCCATACCCAACCTTCAGATTCTGAAGAGAGGCTTACCAAATTTATTCCTGAAATAGTCCTGCTAAAATTACACTGAGAAGCTATTATCTGAGAAAAGAGCAGGGCTTCACAGATCATTAATGAGAGGCCCAGCACGAGGAGGCTGCAAGGATTGGGTAAAGAAGACATCTTTCATCCAGCTGGCATGGCCTTTAAATGACTGAACCCGGGGAGGAAAAGCGGAAGAACAGGCCAATGTTCCAGCCTGGGAGGGTGGGGAGAAGGGTAATCACAGCACAGGAGAGGAAAGTCAGATTCTAAATTAGATTCTGCAACCATCACCCAGCACCTCTGCTAACTGTCGGCTGGCTCTGTCAGGGTCAGAGGGGTCGAGCATGTCACCAGTTTCAGGGTCACTTGGGCCTTTCCTTGGAATCAGCTTTTACGTATTTTCTTCCGCACTGCAGTGTGAACTTCATTTAAAGATGCAACTGTTTAAGTGCTTGCAACTACTCCTTATTGTCAAACAACCTCACACAAAATGGCATGGTCAAGCAAGACTCGCCGAGTTTCCACAGGCATGCAGTATGCTTACTGAGGCTGTGCAGAGGGTCTGATGATATGGACTGAAAAAAGCTGTGCACTTTCTGACTCTGTAGAAAAGCTTGTGATGAAGTTGAAAATAGCTGCCTGCATGTAAAAAGAAAAGAGATCTGTTAATTTCGTGTAATAAAAATCCACAAGTCGGGCCCTCCCTGGTGGCGCAGCTGTTAAAGCACTGCACTAAGAAGCTTAAGCCAATTCCTCATGAGTTCGATCCCCGCCTGCCCCGGAGGAGATCCACATGGCGCGGCAGACCTCTCCTGACCCGCCCGCTGCTCCCCTCAGCAGTGTACTTCGTCGATCTGCCTGTTCTGCTCCCCACTCTGTTCCTGGTGAAGCCTCTCACCCTCCGCATCTCTGGCCTGTACCCCAGTTCTGTATGAATAAATAAATCTTTGAAAAAAAAAATCCACAAGTCTCAGTTTAGATTGTAAAGAAACAGGTGGCAATTAATTCAGATATTAAAAAAATACAGTTTATCTAATAAGGAAAAGAATATTGCTTTCTAGTGAATTTCTCATAGGAGAAAGTAAATTATAATTTAATAAAAATTTGTTAAGAATCTAATAAACAGGTTTATGTTCAACTTTCTACAATCTTGTGGTGAGGTTGTGTCTTCTTCTAAATATACTCCTTCCCCTCGCTGAGCTGTGAGACACCTCCCCCTTCTGGCGCTTGAGACCAGCGGACTCTGGAGACAGCGGCCAGAGCAGTGAGTCCTTCCCGAGGTGCAACGGCCGCCAGTGAGCCTCTGGGGTGCCATGTCCTGTGCTAAGCTGCTTATCTTGCAAAAACAGTTTTCCTCCTGTTGTATTAATATGATTAAGAGAGTCCAGATGGAGGTCCTCCCTGCAGGCTCTGCAGAAGGCAGCAAAGTCACTGCACAGTAAACTGGATTCTACGCTAAGCTGAATACTAGGCTCAGCCACTTATAAGCTACGTCTCCAACACAGTTTTTTAGCCTCTCAGCATCTATTTCCTCATAAGTTCTTTTCTTTCTTGAGATTATGAGACTTGATAGTACATGTAAACTAAGCTGTCGTCCTGCTCAATATACAAATCCCCTTTCACTATTTTGAACACTGCTTCATTTTTGACTTCTTCCCAAGGTTTTTATCTATGACACAGATTAATCACAGAATCATCAAATACCATACCAAACAATGACCTTTAGGGCCAAACATGCCTTGTAAATGATGCAACATCTCGCTGCTTGGTCCTCAAAGGTGAAGGTATCAAACATTAAGACAGGATGGAAATAAAGCCACATGCAGTATGGAGGCAATGAAATGCATGACCAAAGGCCGTGGAACAATCTATGGCCTAGTTATATTTATAAACCAAGCGGCCAAAAGCACAATCACACCTTCAACTCAAGTTCTGGGTCCCAGAAGACAGCCTGAGTGCCACCTATGACTGAAAATATCAGCTGCGGAGTCACTATGGAAAGGTCAAGCTTATAGGTAAATCACACCTGAGATAAAGGCACAACCTTGAAATCAGTGGAGACTAAAGTCAAGGTTTACTAATGGCAATTTTTTTCTTTAAAGATTTATTTATTTGTGCATACAGAACTGGGGTACAGGCCAGAGACTCAGGGGTGGCGAAAGACTTCACCAGAGACAGAGTGGGGAGCAGAACAGGCAGATCGACGGAGTACACTGCTGAGGGGAGCAGCGGGCGGGCCAGGAGAGGTCTGCCGCGCCATGTGGTCACCTCCGGGGCAGGTGGGAATCGAACTCATGCGGAAGTGGTTTCAGCTTCTTAGTGCCGTGCTTTAACCTGCTGCGCCACCAGGGAGGGCCCATAACTAACATTTTTTACGTGCTATGACTGATGACACTGATCTAAAAATCACCAACTATGACTGTGGTCTCCTAACATCTAGTGTCCCATTAGAAGTGGTACTGAGAACAGGGGCTAGTTACACCTACATTAACTACATGTGAACATACTTACAGATACTTTTTAGTCATGTGTTAAAAAACCCACTCATTTAAGCTTTTTGAAAAATGCAAAAAATAAAATGGAAAAAAAGACTTTGAAGAGAAAAAGCCCTTGTAAACAGGACATACAATCTTGAAACTAAAGAGCAAAGGTTGGATAAATTTCATCACATAAAAATTTAAACCATCTGCATGAACAAGAAATAAGTACTAACAGGGTTCCTTTCCCAATATAACAAATGTTCATAAATCAGTAAGACCAATTAAAAAAAAAAAACTGAAGGATTAAAAGGGCCATTGACACATTTGAGTGAAAATGGTCACTCAAACACAGATGAAATGCAGTCTTCCCTTCTGAGATGGGCAAAGACGAGAGAGCGAACATTCTGTGTCTGCTGTGGTGTGAAGACACAAAGATGAGGCTGCCGTGGATTTAAAGGCTGCTACCTGTTTGGAAGCACTCATTTTAAAATGTACCACTTTAACAAATAATAACCCTACAAATTTATTCTCCAGATAAATGTACCCAAACATGATTTTTAAGTGTGGACATTCACTATAATATTGTGTGAAGCAGTTTTAAAACATTTAGGAACAATCAAAATGATCATGACGCACCAATTGGTTACGGCACAAGCGAAAGTGGAATATTATGCTGCCAAAGGCAACAGACACTTTTCACGTGTTCAGCAGGTCCTTGAAAAACATCAGCTCCTTTGACCTTTGATTGGAATGTTGATGAGAACAGATGCTGGTACCTGGGGAGGCCACTGTGAGTGGGGTCTACACACCCTGCCCTCTCTCCCCCACCCACCTGCGTGGACTTTCTCCAGGTCCTCCGGGCTCCTCCCTACCCCAATGTGGTCCTATGAGGCTCATGGGCTGGTCTCAATTGCCTGGCTGAAGTGAGCTGCACCTGCCCCGGGAGGCGATCTTGTCCCAGTGTTGGGCCCTGAGCTGCAGGGGAGCCTCCAGCCAATAGAGGCCTGGACCAAACTAAGTGGGAAGGAAAGTGAAAGAACGTAAATGATTGTTCCACATTAGAAGTGTCTGGGGTCTTTATTAATATAGATACACTGTGACCTCCAAATCCTCAGACTGTTTAGGCTTTTCCAACGGACCCTAAAGCATTCTTATCCCCCAATGACCCTATTCAGGCAGCAATCTGCACTGCCTTCCCTTGGTTCTAGAGGTTGTCAGAGGACAGCCAGGCTGAGTGGAGGCCAGAGAGCAGGCTTGTCTGGTGTCCCCGCCATGTGATTCTCAGGAGAAGCTCGCAGAATGAGCTGTGCTCTTTCACTGCAGCCTGCCGTGACCGGGGCAGGCCTGACCCCTCACTGATCAAGTTCACTTTAGTAGAGATTAAGGTGGCACCTGTCAGGCTTCCCCACTCTAGAATTATTCTCCCCCCATTAATAATTAATGGGCACTATGTTGTGGGAAAGGAGTTTGATACTGTAAACATCTTGTCATTCTAACAGTCAATCCATTCATTAGCCATCCCAACCCCAATTCCTGGCTTCCCACTATTCAGAGGATCTCCTCCATGCCCTGGGGGCTCCTCCATTGTTCTCCAGATGCTCTATGCCCAGGAGTGGCCCCCAGAAGCCCCTCATGCTGGTGCTAGGTCCTCCCGACCACACCGCCTCATTCTCTGAACACTTCTCCTTGCTTTCTGGCACAAGAGCCTTATCTTGTACTTTTCTTGCTCCTGTCCTGCAATCAGATTTTCCTCCGAGTTGAACTCTAGCTCCGTTTAATGGAGACACCTCCCCTGCTCCTGGGGGGCGGCTGCTTTAGACCCTTTCATCTGAAGGAAGCCATATACATGACAATGCACGTACTTACACAGAAATCCAGGAGTCCTCGCTATAATATCTTCAATTCCCATCTGCCACTTTGGGGTTCATTCTCGTTTTCCCCTTTCATTACTCTCTGGTCTCCAATAGGAAACACTCTGGCTCTCACTATTCAAACATTTACTATCAGGTCAACCCCACGGTAATCTCTCTACCTCGCCAGGGCTGCTCCCCAGAGCCAGCATGCAGCCGCCCGCTGCCCTACCCGGGGCCCAGCAGCCTCCTGGCCCGCCAAGCACACACCCTCTGAAAAGCTGCACCGCCTTCTTGTGACTCTCCCCTGTTCTTTGCAGGATGGCTGACCCGTAGTCCAGTGAATGACACGCTGCGACTTAACCAAGTCCCTTTTCAACAACTACTAATTTTTAATCTGTTCTAGTCAAAAAGTACCACGTAAACATGCTGAGACATTCACCTTTGCATCTGAGAGGGAATATGCCGGTAGGGTAAGTTGCTAATCAAAAGTCATCTTCCTTTAAGTTTGAATATCACCACGTAACCTATCTGTACACATTACACCAAATTACACTTTTCACCACCAAAGTATTTACCAAACTTTTTGATCTTTGCATATTCAACAAGAATTAAATAAAACTCAAAGTTTTAATTTATAGTTTCTGAATATAAGCATCTTTGCACTTGTTTAAATGATACCTAACTGTGCTATTTTTGCTTACATCTGCTCCCATTTCTCCAGCTTTAGGCTACTCATTTTTAGTACTTTTTTTAATAGAAAACATTACAAGTATTTTTTTTTTCTGAACTTGAGATTTGTTCTCATTTTGTACTTTAATACATTGTGCCTTTTTCTTTAATGGTTCTCTAGGTGTCACACACACACCATTATCACTCTCCAGCTTCCTTTCCTGCCTTTAAGTCTGTGAGCCACCAAGAGCCAGTGCTGGTGTAAGGAAGGGACCGAGTCCCAGCCTTTCACCCCCAGATGGCCACACGGGGGTACCTACCTTTTGCTGAACAATCTGGGAATGGTTTTCTATCATGAAAGAGGCATCAGGAACACAGAAACAAAGACCAACAGACCTAATGTCATTTTTAAAAGTAAGTGTGGTTTAATTCAAGTTAGAAAGGTCTGAGTCTGACTCCCAATCCTGCTGCTTAACTCTATACAACCCTGGAATTAGTCGTCTTCTGTAAAATGAGGGATAATGAGGGTTTTGGAGGGACAAGACGAGATGACACACAGGAATGCATGGTACTGGAGTTGGCAGCCAACAGTGGAAGCCAGGTCCTTCCGTTCGTTTCCCTACCACCATCCTGAATG